GTAAACAAATAAATGCAGTAAAGTGATACGGGGATGTATGTTGGTTCTTGTCTTTGAATTTCCTATTGTAGTTTGAAACAGATGGGCAGAGAAAATCTCATTCTCACAAGATTGTAGGTTTATGACAAGTCAAAAGTTAGGGAACTAAGTGCAACAGTTTGCTTGATGAGCAACCCCAGCCCCTGAAACCTCCTGTTTACCTTCATCGCTGCTCTCCAAGCTTTGTAGTTTCATTGGAACCTGAAGATTCTTGTACAAAGGGAAGATTAAAAGCTAACCAGACATTGTATTAAGTGCATGTAACCAAACACTATATTAAGTTAACTAAGCGGCCACTCCTGATGGCAACAATCAATAGAAAAAGTCTGACATATCTAGGGAAATGTTTTTCTTCAATTCTTGTTGTGAAATTTTATTCCATTTATTTTTACCTTTTCTATAGAATAGTGTCTGATTAACTTTTATGTCCTCACAACCCCACATAGTAGATGCTTTATAAATGCCTGTTAATCATCACTACATCAGCTGTGACAGAGCTCCATGATCATTGTGCCATCTGGTGACAATTATTCTGAGGAGCAGAGAGCCCCAGAGTTATACTTGGCCCCAAGGAGAATGGTTGGCCAATGCAACATTGTATATATCATAGTGTTATACACTTATCTTATTGATATGCTTTGGATTTGTGTCCCTGCCCAAATCTCATGTAGAATTGGAGGAGAGGCCAGGTGGATGATGACCGCATCATGAGGATGGATTTCTCCTTTGTTGTTCTCAGGCTAGTGAGTGAGTTCTCATGAAATTAGATGGTTTAAAAGTGTGTGACACTTCCCCCTTCATTCTCTGTCTCTCCTGCTGCCATGTGAATAAGTTATTTGCTTCCCCTTTTCCTTCTGCCATGATTGTAAGTTTCCTGAGGTCTCTCCAGAAGCATAAACCTGTATAGCCCATAGAACATCAGCCAATTAAACCCCTCTTTTTTATAAATACCCAGTCTCAGATAGTTCTTGAGTGTCAGTGCCTCTGCTGCTGACTGTGAGGAGGAAGAGATGAAAATGCTTACTCTTCACATACATAATCTCATTTTACAAACTGCCATCTTAGAGAGTAGTATCAATCACAGTGCTGTGCATAAACTATTTGTTGTGAAAATATATGAATAGTTTTATTTCCAATGTTTGCAGATAATATCCAGGAATTTCAACATGACTTTATATTTGATAGCATAGCTTTGTGATGGCTAACTGTGAAGAGCTGGATACTGTTTGTGAAATAAACAATAATCATCATCAATCATCTGTACTACCCTGTGCCAGGAACTTGGCATTCATTATCTTGTATAATTTTCACAGCAACCCTAATTTGTGGGTACTAATATTATTCCCATTTTAAACACAAGAGTTAGAAGCTTTAAGAGATTAAATCATTGATCTAAAGTCACATAGCTAGCAAGCTTCAAACCCAAGTCTTCCATCTCCAGGGCCCACACAGCAGATTACTGAGAATCAAGGCATGCATTTTTCTCTACCCTGTTCATTTCTATGAAGTAAACCTCATTCTTTATATAGAAAGAGCCAGAGATTAAAATCACAAATCATAACATCTATTATGTAACATTCAACTAAGAGGATCCTTTGAAAGGATCATTTTAATAGGGTTTTTTAAAAATAGTTTCTAAACTGTGTTTTATTAGCCCACTATCAGTTAACTCTTTTCAACTTTTCAAAGGTAAATAGGCAAGCACCCATATCTGATTAATGAATGCATGGTGTAGGTGTGTGATTCAAAGACATGACCCAGAATATAGTCAGCCCATCAGCTTCACTTTTCCTCTCAAGTAACCAAAATTGTAGTGCTGCATTCTGGCTAATAAACTACCACCAACATTTTATTTGAGTGAGTTTACATGTCAGTTACTTAAAATATGAATTAATAGTAATGTTTATAACTTAAAATATGAAAACATTTGTAAGTGATTTCCTGAGTAGAAAAAAAGTATGTATTTCTGAAATCATAGTCTTCTTTCTTTCTCTCCTAAATAGTTTTTTTGCTTAAGAAAATGTCTTAGGAATTAGTGATGAGTTGGACAAAAAATTATAGATTAAGGTATTAAATACCACAAAGCTCTTGCACTTTACTTTTCAGTCCATGTGGTTTCTGCTTTAAAAAGGTGTTACCTACTTTTGAATAATTGCACTTTGTTTTCAATATCTAAATATATCTGAACTTTCTTAGAATTCTAGAGAGCACTGATTTTGACAGTTTGTTGGCTTTAAAAGGACTAAGAATTCACTATAATTGAGCTCTACATTCAAAAGAAGCAAGGTGCATTAAATTTTGTCTTAGCTCTATGGTATTTTATGAATGTCAAGAAATGGCCAGTTTTCAGATCTTATCTTTGATGATAAAAAATAAAGTAGTTACACTTTATCCAATGCTTGCTAAATGCTCACACCCATGCTAAGCCCTTGGCATGCATAATCTCTTTAATACTTACTTAATCTCACTGATCCTCAGTTTTCTCATTTGTAAAATGAGAGTAATAAGAACCCCTACCACATAGACTGGTTCTAACTTATTAAAGGTTCACATGGCTCATTAGTAGAAGAGTTGGGATTTGATTACAGGTATATCCAGATCTAAAGAACCAAGTCCTAACTACTGTACTATACTATAGTATAGTGGACACAGATAAGTATGTACCTCTGTATCTAAAAGTTTGCCCCATGGCCCTAATAGACTCTTTTATATAGCCAACATGGTAAAAGCCCATCTCTACTAAAAATACAAAAATTAGCTGGATGCAGTTGTACACTCCTGTAATAGCAGCTACTCAGGAGACTGAGGTGCAAGAATCGCTTGAACAGGGGAGGTGAAGGTTGCAGTGAGCCGAGATCGCATCACTGCACTCTAGCCTGGGTGTACATTGTAGCCTGGATGACTAAGCAAGACTCCATTTAAAAAAAAAAAAAAAAAAAAAAAAGATGGGCAAAGCTGTTTCCTTAAAACTCTCTATATACTATCTGCCCAGACATCTGTTTATAAGTAGTCTGAGCCATTCTTAGGTAAGACAAAATTTGCTTTATTAATTTGCTTTTCTGGAATCTTTTTAGACCTGCATTTTAGCAAATTTTAGCCTGTTTAACAGTTACTAAAATGTACTGAAATTCACTTTCAGTATGATTTACAGAAAGGAGCCCAAGGAGATACCTTACACAAACTCAGAATTAACCTGTTCTCCATACAGACTGCCCCCAATTATGGCCTTATTGACTGACATCCAGAATCACATACATTTCTCTTGATATCTCCAAGGAAATCTTTTTATCCTACAACACACTGGTTTCAGGAAGAGGAGGCAACTGACTTTAAATCTGCAGCACTGTGTTTAAGATAAAAGTCTGTCATTGAAGTTGTGTGATTTCAGAGAACCTTAGTTTCTTCATATGTAAAATGGGAACAGTATTTTTCCTGCTTGTCCCCTCAGTTGTTTCAAAAATCAAGGTAGAAAAGCACTCTACAAACAAGAGAGATAAAGTGGCATTATCTCAAAAGCAAGAAGGTTTGGGGCCAAGCAGATTTAGGTTTAAAGCTTGATTTTGGTGCTTACTAGCTGCATGATTTTCAACCTGAGCAATTGTAAAGATTAAATGAGATAATACCATCCATCTGCAATACAACAAGCTCTAGCTCAAGCTTGTCCAATCCACAGCCCAAGGACATGTGGGTCAGACATGTGGCTCAGGATGGTTGTGAATGCAGCCCCAAATTTGTAAATTTTCTAAAAACATAGAGATTTTTTTGTGAAAAATTTTTAAGTTAATCAGTTATTATTAGTGTTGGTGTACTTTTTGTGTGACCCAAGGTAATTCTTTTTCCAGTGTAGCCCAGGGAAGCCAAAAGATTGAACACCACTACTCTATCTAACAGGATTTCTTGATTTGGTTATAGGTAGTCACAATGTAAGAAAATAAACGGAGGGAATACTAGAAAGGCATGCATGAAGATGTAAATTGATGCCACATAGAAATATGATATGAGTTTATGGTAATCTGAATGTGACCTGCACGATTTTAGTCTTCCCAATAGAGTATTAGATAGCTAGCAACAAACTACAACAGTCTTTGATTAAACTTTCTTTTCTCTAAAGAGTCACAAATTGTAGACTCTATGTCTAGATTTCATCTTTTGACCATGTGGCTGCAATATAAAGTTCTTCAGTGAAAATCTGTTAAATAGATATGTGCTTGCTCTTCTCTGGAACCTTTCCAATGTTCTATGCTGTTCAAGTTTATCAACACAGTTTACAAGGTCTTCCGAAGACCCGTTAAATGTATGTTGTGTGCCTAACTAATGAAGTTGTGCCCACGAAGGAGCTGATGTATGCAAAGTCCTATGATCATGCTGTGGAAAAAGTTGGTTATTGTATATTTCTTCTGAATCAACAGGTGAGTTTAGTACAACATAGGCTTTTTTTTTGAGACAGGGTCTCACTTTGCCCAGGCTGGAGTGGCAGTGGGATGATCATGGCTCACTGCAGCCTCAACCTCCCTGAGTGATCTCCATCTCAGCCTCCCAAGTAGCTGGAACTACAGGCACACACCACCACTCCAGACTAATTTTTTCTGTAATTTTTAGAGACAGGGTTTTGCCATGTTGCTCAGGCTGGTCTCCAACTCCTGGGCTCAAGAGATCTGCCCACTTCGGTCTCCAAAATTGTGGGTTTTACGGGTGGGAGCTACCACACCCAGCCAGCATACTCTTTTTTAAATAACTTTGATTATGCTTTAGACAAATTTCCTTTTTGAGGGTATGAAGAAAATATTCATGTGCTAAGATATTTTACTGGTCAGCAGAAACAGCAATTGAAATATGATAAATGAACAGTAGAACAAAAAATAGAATGTTTCTCTTGAAGTGTAGAATCCTTCAAGTCTCTGAAGCATAGTAAAATGTGCTGCTTCTACATTATTGCTTTTGTTTTGCTTTGTCTTCCCTAGAATGACTACAAAAAACTATCAGTACAGTGCAAAGACTTTGTTGTTGGACTCCTTGATCTGTGCAGAAACACAGAAGAAGTCGAGGCCATTCTGAATGGGGATGTTGAAACGCTCCAGAGTGGTGATCATGGTCGCCCAAATCTCAGCCGTTTAAAACTTGCCATTAAATACGAAGTCAAAAAAGTAAGGTCAGGCATGAAGCCCGTTTACATTATTTTGGTTCTTGTTGGTGCTAAATAAGGATAAAGGGTTGATATTGTTAGATTGAGCTGGAATTTTCTAATTGACGGTTGTACTAGGCAGATTCTCTAACAAATTAGAAGCATCTGTACTAGTTGTGAGGCACTTTACCTATGCTAAATGCCAGTCTTTAAAATCTAGACGTATTGAAACAGAACTTTGTAGGGATTGCCACTTTCTTTGACTGGGCTAATGCTATAACAATGACTTCATGTATCCAAATTCTAAAATATTTGTTATAAGACAAGAACGTTACCATTTGAGACTCGACTCCATTATCCCATTTGTTGCTGTTTTCAAATAATGCCTTCAATTTCTTCTTTACTGCGTTAGACTTTCCTCCAGCTGCATCTTCAATTGTGAAACATTTTTGGTCTCTGTCTTCAAGCATTGTCCTCATTCTCTACTTTCTTAGATTATATGAGATATCTTTTAAAAAGTTGTCCAGGCGCAGTGGCTCATGCCTGTAATCCCAGCACGTTGGGAGGCCGAGGCAAGTGGATCACCTGAGATCAGCAGTTGGAGACCAGCCTAGGCAACATAGTGAAACCCTGTCTCTACTAAAACTACAAAAATTAGCTGGATGTGGTGGTGTGCACCTGTAGTCCCAGCTACTTGGGAGGCTGAGGTGGGAGAATCATTTGAACTCTGGAGGCAGAGGTTGCAGTGAGCCAAGTTCATGTCACTGCACTCCAGGCTGGGTGATAGAGTGAGACTGTGTCTCAAAGTAAGTAAATAAATAAAAAATAAAAATGCTTTTAAAGGTAGATTTTTTCTAATAAAAGTAATATATGCCTATGATAAGTTTTCAAATACTATAAACATGTCTCATCCCCATTTTTCCACTTCTGAATGAAGAATAAGGAACCATTGTTATGTTTCTCAACGCAAATTTCTTTCTTGGACAACTTCACCTATGAGTTAATAAATGTCCACTTGATCTTCTTAAAGGATGCATTGTTATCTCATTATATTCATTTAATCTGTTTACTATTTAGGGATGTTTATTATAATTTTCAGATTTTTGTTACTACATTTTTGTTTATTTTTTATGCAGCAAACATATTTGTTCATATAGCTTGCTTACTTGCATGACTTACCTGTAAACAAAAATTCTTAGGCCAGGCGTGGTGGCTCAAGCCTGTAATCCCAGCACTTTGGGAGGCCGAGGCGGATGGATCACGAGGTCAAGAGATCAAGACGAACCTGGTCAACATGGTGAAACCCAGTCTCTACTAAAAATACAAAAAATTAGCTGGGCATGGTGGCACGTGCCTGTAATCCCAGCTACTCGGGAGGCTAAGGCAGGAGATTGGCCTGAACCCAGGAGGCGGAGGTTGCGGTGAGCCGAGATCGTGCCATTGCACTCCAGCCTGGGTAACAAGAGCGAAACTCCGTCTCAAAAAAAAAAAAAAAAAAAAAAAAAAAAAAAAAAAAAATTCTTAGATGTGGAATTAATATGTCAAATTTTTAGTTGCAGTTTTCTGAATATTTGCTAGGTTTCCCTTCAAAAATGGTATACCAGTTTCCATAAACACCAACAGCGTGTGACTGGGCTTATTTCTTTCACCCACAATGATATTATCCAACTTTACCATTGTGAGTGGATAAACATTTTATCTTGTTTTAATTACCTTTGAGGTTAACCAACCTTAAGATGCACTTGTAGTTCTTTTATATAATCTGTCCTTTGTATAACCTTTTAATATTCTTTACAATTTTTATTTTAGGGATATTGCTTTTTGTATATTAAATAACTCTGCCATATGTATGGCTCAGTTGTAAAAATAAATATATGAGAATTAAAAAAAATTCCCTCAAAAAATAAATGTTGAAATTTAAAGGCTTCTTAATTAAAAGAGATTTTGCACAAGAATAGAAGGAGAGATCAATAGAACAGAATAGGCTGTCCAGAAACAGACCCATATACAAATGGGAATTTAGTATAAAATGGGTGACATTTTAGGTCAGTGCAGGAAAGGTGGTTTTTTAAAAAATAATTTAGGCAACTGAGTTAATATATCTTCCTAGATGAAAAACTGTATAATCATAAAAGCCCTATGTAAAACATAATCTTTTTATAATATTGAATTAAATTTTTTTCTGTGCTTTGAAAGAAAGCTCATTAGTCAAAAAGGAAAAGTTCAATAAATTGAAATCTTCAAATTTATGTAAAATACATGGCAACAAGCAAATGGCAAAAGGTTCTAATGTTTTATGTTTGCTCTTTAATTCTAACTGTATTTCATCAGAAAGCATGGAACTATTAGAACACATGAAAATTGTTTATGCTGAACCTTTCTTTAATCAAACTGTTAAATGTTTCGTCACTTCCCTGCTAGTTTGTAGCTCACCCGAACTGCCAACAGCAACTTCTCTCCATCTGGTATGAGAATCTTTCTGGTTTACGACAGCAGACAATGGTGGTCAAGTTCCTTGTGGTCCTTGCTGTTGCCATTGGACTGCCCTTCCTGGCTCTGATTTACTGGTTTGCTCCATGCAGCAAGGTATGTATGTGAAGCCTGGACCTGTGTTATCTATCAGAAGTATGTCTTACGTGGGGAAAAATCTTATCTCCAAAATGAAAATTTCAGGGAGTTATAGTTGAGTTTCAGTAATCTTTATTGTTTGTAATATTACAAACTAATACTTGTTTGAGTTTAAATATTTATTTTTATTACTTTTAATATTTTAAAATAATACGTATTTTCTGTAGGAAACAAAAAAATGGAAAAGTTGAAATTCACCTGTGATATCACCACTGTTAATGTGTGAAGGAAAACTCAGTAACTATATTTGTTTATTTTCTTTGACTCTTTTCTCCGTGTACATCCATGCAAATACTTTTATATATCTTAACGAGGTCATAGTACCATTGAGCATGTATTTCAAATGACATCCTAAAAGTTGAACACTTTTTCTGTTTTTCCTCTGGCAAAATTTGAGATGAAAGTTTTGTCTTGTATTTATTTTAGCTAATATGACCAGATAAATCTTAAATGAAAGGCCATCATGTAAATACTAATTAATACTTATTTCGGTAAAGAATATATGTATGTATTTTAGGGACTAAGTACACCAGAACCTGACAGCAGAAATAGCCTATTTTCTTAGCAAAAGCTATCTGCCCAGACTTCGGTTAAAAATGCTCTGTTCAGATGGATCTAGCCTTTCATTAGTGTGACAGGATAGGTTTGAGAAATATTGACCTATCATTGTTAACAAGTAGAGGAATTTGTGTCCTGCATTGCTAACAAGCCTATTCTTCATGTTTTTGAAGCCACATTCCTGGATCTGTTGAACTCTGAGAAGCAGATTGAAATAATTCTGAAGCTTAGTGTCTAAATGTCTGCTGGCTATTAATGTGCTATGTAGAAAGAACTTATCAGTAGGGTCACTTCCCCTGCTTAAACATGGGCATGATTCATTTTCAAACGTTCATAATATGTAGGCGCAAACACAAACATCACTATTACTAACATATTGTTTTCTAATTACTTGGTAATATAAGTGGTGTTTTAGCCATATAAGGACTGTTCAAAGTGACTCATGCTAGAAAGCTTGTGCAAAGCCTTTTAGACAGTGGAAACATAATTATTTCTAGTAATGATGACAGGAACTACGGGAAACTGGACATTTTCTCATGAGATTAAAATCCATCATCATGGATATTTTTCCCTTAAAAATATATAAGGCCAAAATTTGATATCTTAGATACATAAAATATAAACGAAGAAAACAAAATGAAAACAGTGCAATTTACTAGAAATGATATCTATAGTACAGATTTTCATCTAGAGAGTTAAATTTTTCCCCTTTTTAATAGAAATGACAGATTTTTGCCTGGAAAAATAACGTGTGTACATGGACAAAGAGTGTGAAATGATAGACATTGGAGACTTAGAAAAGTGGGGGTGCAGAAGAGGAACAGGTGGTGATAAATTATTTAATGGGTAGAATGTGTATTATTTGAGTGATTAGTACACTAAAAGCCAAGACTTCACCACTATGCAGTTTATTCGTGTAACAAAATTGCACTGATAACCCTTAAATTTAGACAAACACATTTCTAAACCGTCCTCACTCGAATATAAGTTTTATCTGTGTAGGTAGTGTCTTTGTTCTTCTTCTCCTTATATTTCCTGAGTCATCTGAGATTTAAACTAAATTAAACTGGGGGGAGTTTTTGAATTACACCTGTTCTCATTCTGTGACCAATTAAATTATAATCTCTTTCCTAAACTGAATAATTTTCCTTGTCCATAACCAGTGTGTTAGAAAGCATAATATCTTCCAGAGTGCCTTGTGCTTTGACACAGACTATCTTTGGCAATCCTTAGAGTTTCTTAAATTTTGATTGAATTTCTTAAATTTTGATTGAATTCTAATTAAACTGACTTCCTTTACTATTTCTTCTTCCCTGGTCGTATTTCTTTCTGGTATCTGTTTTCCATCCTTGTTTATGAACATTGAGGCTAATAATCAAATTAAAAGGATGCTATCAAGGTATTTTTTTTTCTCCTATCCAAAACCTATTTTACTGTTTACTATTTTATTCTTTGAAGCATGACAATAAAACCTATTTTATAGTTTTCCATTTGCAACAAACATAAATATGCTTTATAGGACACAGGATTTTTTTTGTGGGAGGAGATTGCTTCAGCTAAATTGGTGGTTTTATTCCAAATGTATTTAAAATATTTTGGATTTTCCAATGTATCCATGAACATTAATAAGATCAAATTGCAGGCCTATGCACTGTGACTGAGTGAGTCCGTATTTCTATTTAAAGTTTATTTTGCTGTAGGAAACAAAAGTTGGTTTTCTTTTTTCGCCTTTCCAAAATTTCTTTTGTTTTCACTTGCTCTCTTTCTTATACTGTAGTCCAAATATCAATTATTTTTGCTCATTACGATAAAAATAGTCACTCTGCAATTTCAAATCGTTTTAGTTTAAGCTAGTCTCAACATTTTTCATTTCTTGGTAGTATTGGGTAGCTAGGTATTTAGTCATCAATAAATACCTAAAGAGAGTATGACATGTAATATTTCAAGACAGGTATTTATTTCAGTCCTTATCCTCAGCCGTTTTCCAGGTACATCAGTTGTTCAATTTCTTCATCTAGCTCTCCTCCTTTGTAGTTTTTTACTAAAAAGGGTAACTTGCTTTAATTCCTAAAGTCTAGTGAGAGATGCCCAAGTCGCCCTTAGTTTAAAGAGAAATGCAATTCCCAGTTTTTGTAAGAAAAGTAAAGGCTGTGAGGTTTCAAACATGCCCATTTTAGTTTCTAGGCAACCAGCTTTTTGGTTGCTAAGCAAAACAAAATGAAACAAAAAACCATGAACAAACAAACCAAAAAATACCCTGAGACTTTTAATAAGCGGAAGAAAATGCCTGGATTGATACTCCCTTTAGAATAAAATAAAGGAAGAGTAATATGATGTAAAGGTCAGTAGGCCAGTGGAGAAAAATGGGAAGCCAGGTAGCGGGGAGGCACACAGATCAGACACCCTGCCCTGAAAATTGAAGACTGACTTTAGAGGTGTCCAGGACAGCTAAACTAAGGTTCCAGAGTTTTCAGATTTGTGGCTCATTCTAATGTAGATAGTTTTATTTCAACTCCATTTTATGTCCCCAACCTCATGTTTTCAATTTATGTATTTATTTGGTTCTACTTTAACTTATGCTTTACTGTATGATGTCCTTGAAGGCTGCTTCTTATTCTTTCTGGAACCAGGCAGGTGATAAATAAGTTTTTCATGAATTTCGCTAGCAGTCATTGTCCCTAATCCCATGTTTCCCAAAACAGTCAAATAAATTGAGAATTTAAAAAAATGGTTTAGGATTTATAATGGATTATCCCATGAGAAAGATAGGGATTCTTGAAATACATTTTTATTTGCTTTAATATTTGGTTAAAATAAATAATACATAAAATATAGAATTAAAATTGTATGTATAACACATCATGGAAATATAACATTGATGTTTATTTTTAACCATTTATATTTAAAAAGAAAAATAGGGAAGGACAATAGGCAGAAGACAATTAAACTTACTTTTTCTACCATTTGTTTTAATTTTGCCATCATTTGATTGAGAATTATATTTTAAAAGGATCTAAAAAAAACAAAAACAAAAAATACTCTTTGAATCAATTTAGTAGGTGATCTCATCTCAACATTTTTTTTTACAGCAAATTTTTACAAAATAACTTTGGATTGGTTCTGCAATCCTAGAATCTATTGGCTTAAAACTCTGTATGTGTGTGTGTGTGTGTGTGTGTGTGTGTGTGTGTGTTGTGTGTGTGTGTATTCTTTGGCCTTCTGTATCTGTGGGTTCTGCATCTCTGGATTTAACAAACCACAGATTGAAAACATTTGAAAAAAATGGTGACAGTACTGAACAGGTACAGACTTTCTTTTGGCATTATTCTATAAACTGGATATTGAATATTCTCAACGCAAAGAAATGATAGATGTTTGAGATGATGGCTATGCTAATCATCCTAATCTAATCACTATATATTGTATGTATTGACACATCACTATGTACTCCCTATAAATATGTACAAATACATGTCAATTTAAAAATATATCTTATAACAAAAATTTACATAGCATTTACATAATATTATGTATCATAAGTAATCTTGGCATGATTTAAAGTATTAAAGTACATGTGCCTAGCCTCAGATTTTAGTATCCATGGAAGATTGTGGAACTAATCCCTCATGAATACCTAGGGACAACTGCGTGCATACACACACACCCCCAGGGAGAGAGAGAGAGAGAGAGAGAGAGAGAGAGAGTTAGATACAATACAGTATCTCCTGATATTCTGTGTCTGGCCTGACATTCAAAATGTCAAGAGAAGTTATGAACTACATGACTGGTTCCAGATCTAATTTTTATGATTTTGAAAACCACATAGACAAACAAAGGTACAGAAATAGAGAACACCAATTGTGTTCCTCCCACGATAGCATTTATCTTTTCCAAGTCTTAAAAGATAATTCCTTGTTTCCACTAATAATTTATATATGTAGGCACATTGATGAGAAAGTATGAAATTATTCTGTAAAACCAAATAGAAGTATTAACTCAGGGACAAGAGTGCCTGGGTTCAAGTTCTGGTTCTACCACTTATGAGATATGTGACCTTGGACAAATTTCTTGACCTCACTTCCTCAGTTTCTTCATCCAAAGTGGGCATTTGAGTGCACCTTCCCTTTTGAATTGTTGTGATGATTCCGAGTTAACAGTGTAAAACACTTAAACAGTGCCAACTAAGTGTTGGTTGTATTTTATTAGTTTGTAAAGTTTTCTGTAATAATAAACTCATTTGAAAAGCTGTGGAAAGCTATGGACCGTCTCCTAAAGGGAAGGGGGAACTGCACATACAGTTTGAGTTTTGTTCATTTCAGAGGATGTCCAGACCTCTTAGTCATATCCTAGATCCTCGCTCTGCCTAGGTGAAGATCTGTACATCTCAGACAGAAATGAATCTTGTACTATAAAAGGCACACTAGCTTTTATTGTTCCCATATTTCATATAAAGTCTGGTTTTCACATAATTTGGAAATGTGCTCATTGTTACTCAGCTAATAAGGGAATGAAACTGGAACCTGAACCTAAAATATGGGACTTTAAATCCAGTGTCCTTCCAGAACATTGTTCCAGTACACCAGAGGACCCGCCCTGCTGCCCTGCCCTCAGCTGGGAGTTCTCTTCTTGGTAGTCATGATATTTTTTTTTTGAGATGGAGTCTTGTTCTGTTGCCAGTCTGGAATTCTCAGCGCAACCTCTACCTTCTGGGTTCAAGCAGTTCTTCTGCCTCAGCCCCCCGAGTAGCTGGGACTACAGGCGTGTACCATCACACCCAGCTAATTTTTGTATTTTTAGTAGAGATAGGGTTTCACCATGTTGGCCAGGATGGTCTTGATCTCTTGACCTCATGATCTGCCCACCTGGGCCTCCCAAAGTATTGGAATCACAGGCATGAGCCACCATGACCAGCCTGTGCTCATGACTTTTACTGCATTGACAACATCACCAGAATAGCAGTATCTACTCAGGGCTGTCAATGAAGTATATGTGAGGACAACCACCAAGGTTCTGTATCTTGTGACTCAGTTTCATATTTTCATTGCCACTTCCTCAATATATCAGGCCCACTAAGATATTATGCTCTATATTTTCTTCACAATATTATATATTTAAAGAATTTAAATATCCTTTATTAGAAAAATACATTTATTTAGCTATTAATCGAGAACATTGGCATATGTAGGTGAAGAATGTGAATAGAATTTTATAACAGCATAAAGATATTACTCTATCATGAATTACATAAACGATTATCTCAGAAGAACACTGGAATTATGTAGATATTTATTCTTGCATGTATTTATGTATGTTTTGAAAAGTGTACAAAACAAAGTTCAGATTTTCTTTTGATGTGTGTTGTGGCAGATGGGGAAGATAATGCGTGGACCATTCATGAAGTTTGTAGCACACGCAGCCTCCTTCACCATTTTTCTGGGACTGCTGGTCATGAACGCAGCTGACAGATTTGAAGGCACAAAACTCCTTCCTAATGAAACCAGCACAGATAATGCAAAACAGCTGTTCAGGATGAAAACATCCTGCTTCTCATGGATGGAGATGCTCATTATATCATGGGTAATAGGTAAAGACTGATTTTCTGTCATGATTTCTCTTTGCAGTCTTAGCGGTTGGACTGAATGACACTGATTGTTTCACACGTCAGTTATATAAATGTGTGCAGCATGATACAATGCACTGCACATCATAATTTTCTTTGGGTTCTCAAAGCACAGTTGCCTTGGGTTCGTTATCAGTGCTATAGTCTCACATGCTGTGCGCTTTTTGCATTTCCAAGGAAAACCCAGGAAGAAAAACAACAGGATAGTATCAGTCATACCCCCACAGTGACACAAGGCTATTATAATATTCATATTTTGAGAGAGAGCTGTGATTTGAAGCTTAAAAACAGCCACGATTTTACATTGAGATTTGATAGGAATTGAAGCACTTGCATTTATTGAACATTTATTATGTGTGTCAGGAATGATTCCAAGCACTTTATATACATCAAATCACATTCTCTGCATCTCAGTTTTCTAATCTGTAACATATAATCACTTATGTTTTATAGGAGTTATGTCAGGATTAAGTAATTTACTTTAGGACCCCTGGGTGGTAAGTGAAAGAGAAGGAATATGGTTTTAGTTATACTATTTGCCTTTAGAATCAATCATACATGTACCTTGCCATGAAATACAATGCAAACAAGAAAGATACTTCAATTAGATATTTATGAATAAATAAATAAATCCAGTGGCTGTTAAGTGCCTTTGTTAAGTGATGAGGATACTAAAGGGATTAAGACACAGTCCCTGTGCTCAAGGAAGTTAAGTCTGGGAGGCAGGTCAGTAAGTAAATCAGTACTTAAAATTCAACATGACAAATGCTATAATTGAGGAGTTAGTGGTATATTATGAACATACGCAGATCAGGCATCTAAATCTGAGGTGGGATGTGAAGTGGAAGGGGCAAGAAGTCCTTCCCATGCAGTGCCTTCAATTTGATACTTTGAGGATAAGAGAATGTTATCCAGACCTGTTTGGGGGTCAAGGATACTACAAGGCACAGGAACATTAGAGATGTGGAACTATGGCAACACCTGGCACACTCTAAATATGATGAGTTAGGCAGAGAAGGAGCCCAGGTGTGTTTATGGATGTGAGTAATGCAAGATAAGGGTGGAGAAATGGCTAGAGGATGCTTTTCAGCAATGGGCGATCTGATCTGATCATGTTTTAGAAAGGTCACAGTGGTTGTGAGATCGAAGGTGGCTTTAATGAGTCCAGGGTTAAGACTCAGTGGAAATGCTCCCTGTGAGAGGGATGAGGTCTGGAACTCAGGAGATGGAGGAAAGGACTTGAGAGCACCCTAATAGTAAACCCCAAACAACTTGGTGATTATTGCACATCAGAAGGGAGAGCTGTGGGTTCTGCCCTCGATCAGCTGGGAGTGACTGCAGTCTCTAAGAGGGAGAATAGAGAAGGAAGATCATGCTTGGGACTGGAGGAATGAAAAGCTGATAATGTTTAGGTTATGATTGACTTTGAAGTTTCCATGGAATTTCAAGGTGGAAATGTCCATTCAGTAATAGAAAATATGATCCCTGGGAGTATTTGGGTTTTGAGTAAAGTTCCAGCAATCTTGAATTCCCAGATGGCACAACAGACATGTTCAAGAAATTTCAGGTAATTGTAGTTATTCAACATTTCACTAAGAGTTTATATGTCAGTATTACATAGGAGTGCTATTTTCCTATTAGGCAAAATATGACTCTTTTAGTACAAGATGAAACTTTGAAAAATTAAATGTTATATAAGGGAAAAAGAATTAAAAAATTAAATTTTATATAAAGGGGTATAAGGAAAATGATTTATGGTGAAGAATAGAATGAGCATATTATATTTTATTTATTTTTTTTTTGTGATGGAGTTTTGCTCTTGTTGCCTAGGCTGAAGTGCAGTGGCACAATCTTGGCTCACTGCAACCTCCGCATCCTGGGTTCAAGCAATTGTCCTGCCTCAGCCTCCTTAGTATCTGGGATTACAGGCATGCACCACATCCAGCTATTTTTTTTTTTTTTTTTTGTATTTTTAGTAGAGACAGTGTTACTCCATGTTGGTCAGGCTGGTCTCAAACTCCTGACCTCAGGTGATCTGCCTGCCTCGGCCTCCCAAAGTGCTAGGATTACAGGCATGAGCCACCGCTTCTGGCCAGACATATGATATTTTATATATAAAACATGTATAAACTTAAGAGCGCACTGATAGGTAAACCCCAAACAACTTGGTGATTACTGCACATCAGAAGGAAGGACCTGTGGGTTCTGCCTTGGATCAATAGATGGTGACTGCAGTCTCTAAGAGGGAGAATAGAGAAGGAAGATCATGCCTGGGACTGGAGGAAAGAAAAGCTCTGAAAACAACAAGACTGCATGGGTTCAGTGAGTTATATTTTATGTAACATGTTCATTTCATTCTTTCTATAAATCATTCTCCTCATACTAGTCTTAGTTTTATTTTACACTTTATATTTTTTCCTTTTTCACTTAGAAACCTAACACAGGAATATTAAATGAAGCTTTAATCAAAGCATTTTCCTTGTAACTTTTGTCCCATCAGCCTCTGTATTTGACTTCAGAGACTAGCGCACAGTTATTTATTTAAAGGAAAAATAATGAACAACTCAGGACAGCTGATGCTTTTGTAGCCTATGTTAGACTTCTGGTTGAGTTTCTGACATTGGTATTTATTTTCTTTTTTGAAGTTATTCTTGAAAGAAAGTTGTACTTTCTGGAAATGTTAATAAGAAGTAGCCTACTTAGATGAGATGTTGGTTGTGTTATGTGGGCTTGAGGGAGAGAGTGACACTGTTAGTCACAAAGCAAATTTATCTCATTTTTATTTGACAGAAAGTTGAAAGGCTAAATGACAAAACCAATGTGCTAGGAGATGTTGACCAGGCAGAACAGTGAGTTCAAATCAATGAGAAGATGTATGCCAGGAACACGGAGAGGAGGGCATGCTTGAAGACACTTGTAAAAAGAGCCTTAGGAGCACTTTTCACTTAATGGGCAGTCTGAGCTGTTGAGAAAGCAGATGCAGTCCTGGGCTGACTCTTCAACAGAAGGAGAGGACCCCAGTCGAGGGCAGTAATTACTCAATGGCCAGACCGCACCTGCAGGCTCCGGGTGCCACGCGCAGCCAATTGGCAAACTAAGAAGAGTTTCGAGCACAGCAGTTAGGAGAGTGAGTGGTTCTCAGAACAGCTCTTGAGGGGACTGGGGAAGCTTACCCTAGATGGTGAGGCATGGGGTAAGATCCAGTGGAATCTGAGGCTTGTTTATTCCGAGGGCTCCATTTAGAGAAAAAGACGACAAAGTGAGGACTTTTAGGAGCCTGGGCAAGCAAAGGCATCTTGAAGCTTCAGTTTCATGGTTAACTTGCCCTGCTAGCAAAAACCAAATTTAATGAACACACAGGTGGGATTTTTTGGTTGTTTTTGGTAAAAAGAAATTTGAAGGCAGAGGGAGCTGACTCATTTGCTACCTCTCCAGAGGGCAAAAACAGAACCAGTGGATCCACATTGAAGGAATATTCTGAAAATTCAACAGTGGAATGAGCAAGCTTCAGAATTAGTTAAGTACCTTATCGCAAGATCTATACGAGCAGAGGCTTGATTCCTGTGAAGTATCCTGCTTGGGGCCAGCGTGAACTTGATACAGGATTTCAGCCTCTGCTTAGCGGCTCTCAGGGTTTCTCAGGACAAATGAGACAGGAACTTTTCCTTCGAGCAAAATAGCTCACTGATTTGTTTTAGTTTTTAAGCTTCAGGAAGACATCATTTGTGCCAAGAATTCTACTTCTTAAAGAGAGAAAGATAACCGAAGATGGAGAATGGGCGGAACAAAAGGAGGGGAAGCTTTGAAAACATCTAGACTGCATGAGTTCTGACGTCCCTTTGGTCCCCATGCTTGTTACTCTGAACCATCCTCATCTCCGAGTGAGGCCGACAGGAACCCAGGGACCAAGTAGGGGAAAAAGCTGCCATGTTTCCTGTTACAAATTTGATCCCCCAGATCGTATATGAATTTGATCCTAGTCCCCTCTTAACTTGAAACAACTCAAAATGAGTAATGATGTCTTTTCTTAAATCCATGTCCTCTGTGCTGCATTGAATACTGGTTTTGAGAAAAGGCACATGATGTGCTCTTGGAGAGCAGAGACAAGGCGTCTTCTTAATCCCTACAGGGCTATGCAGCCATTCACATAGCAGGTTCTGTGATTGACATTTAGGGCTAATGTGAGAATCTGGGGCAGGTGGTTGCTGAGGGTGAGGAGAAGATTCATTTCAACTAGAGGCTGTGAAGGACTTCTCGATGGAGGCAAGTTTTGATCAGTTGCTGCAGTTTGGGTTGTGTTTCTCCATATGGCTCCAGAGGAAGGCAGGATGTCAGAGTAGGGTATCTTAAAGACAATAGGGATAAAGCAACTTCTTTGTAATTTTAAAAGTGGGATTATTCAAATTAAGAAAAAAATACATGCACCAATCATGGAAAATTTTAAATAGTAAGCATTGAATAAATGTCATATTTTTTTCCAAGTGCCAGACACTGAGCTGTGTATTTCACATGAACTATTTTATTTAAGGCTCATAACAATCCAGTGAAGCAGGATCAAACCAATATCATTCCCATTTTACAAACTGAGTTTTAGATAGTTTAAATATCTTATCAAAGACTTCATAGCTGACAAATGGAAGAACAAATTCTCAAATTCATGGTGGTCTTATCTCAAATTTAGTTCCTAAGTACTACACTAAAATTTTGAACAAGTATTCAGTACTATTAAAAATTCGACCAGAAAAAGGCAGTGACTATTATTAAGTTCCTGTTACCCCTTCTAGGCTTTCACTGTGCTGGTTTTAAACATAAACCATAGGTCATAACATTCTAAACATTTTTAGTTAGCCTGACAATATAAATTGTTTCCAGTGGATGTTAATCTGGGTCCTCTAAGAAGCAGGCACAAAGATTAAATGTTCAACAGGTTTATTAAGAAAAATGGAAATTTTATTAAGGAACATTTCTTTTGAAAGGAAATGGAGAGAGAGCTGAGGAAAGTCTCAAGAGCTCTCCGACAGGGATGCAAGTCAAACCCCAAAGGACAGAGAGCAGGCAGGAAGGTTGAGTAGAAGCATCCTAGATCTTTACACAGTCTAAGGGAAGTTTGGCAAGGCTGTCATGAAATCCTTGAGCCAAAGTCAGCCATCAGAAGAGTCCCATGTCTTCCAAGAAGGGGAACCCTCAATAATTGGCTGAGAGCAGCCTGGGGAAACACAGCCTTGAACAAAAGTGGCCATGGTTTTCAAAAGGCAGTCAGTGAGGCCTGTGATCAATCAAATTCCTATAGTTGTGTGTCACTGAGGCACATTCTCATGGTCACTGTCCCATGATAATTAATAAAATATATTAAATGGCTGCATAATAGTCCATCTGTGGAAGTTCCACTTCCATTTTACTTCTATTTTGAGTGTGTGGGTGTGGGTGTGTTTGTGTGTGGGGTTATTATAAGGTCTCCTATAATAAACATCTTTTAAATATATTTTTACATGTGGAATTAATTGATCAGCAGCATGTTTGTTATTTTTAAGGTGTTCAGTGAACTTTGTCAAACTGCTTTGAGGTATGCACTGATATTTGTAGACTATGATATTTGTGAGGATTTGGATATTATGGTGGGATGGCAGGTTGGAGAACAAATTTTGAAGGGTTTTGTAATGTCAGGCTGAGACCTTTCAGACATATTTTGTTTTATAGAACAGCTAAGACTGAATGCAGTTGAATTGATATTTTAACCCCTTTCTGCTGCAGGCATGATATGGGCTGAATGTAAAGAAATTTGGACTCAAGGCCCCAAGGAATATTTGTTTGAGTTGTGGAATATGCTTGACTTCGGTATGTTAGCAATTTTTGCAGCATCATTCATTGCAAGATTCATGGCATTCTGGCATGCTTCCAAAGCCCAGAGCATCATCGATGCAAATGATACCTTGAAGGACTTGACAAAAGTAACACTGGGAGACAATGTGAAATACTACAATTTGGGTGAGTTTAAACAGTCAATATAAATTAATAAAAGTACAGAATTTTCTTGTAAAACAGATGTCAATAGTAGTTTGGTTACTGCCCAATTCTTTTTTTTTTTTTTTTTTTTTTTTTGAGACGGAGTTTCACTCTCGTTACCCAGGCTGGAGTGCAATGGCGCGATCTCGGCTCACCGCAACCTCCACCTCCTGGGTTGAGGCAATTCTCCTGCCTCAACCTCCTGAGTAGGTGGGATTACAGGCACGCGCCACCATGCCCAGCTAATTTTTTGTATTTTTAGTAGAGACAGGGTTTCACCGTGTTGACCAGGATGGTCTCGATTTCTTGACCTTGTGATCCACCCGCCTCAGCCTCCCAAAGTGCTGGGATTACAGGCTTGAGCCACCGTGCCCGGCCTATGCCCAATTCTTATAAAATTGGTTGTTAGTTTCCAACATCTGTATCTGAAGAATGAGCATCTATATGTGAGAAAGCATGCTTTCTGCTTCTTCCTTTGATTTTTCTACTCCCTGGAAAACTCTCTTAATCACAAGACTCATCTCTCTTTACCTCTTAGATCAATTGGCTAATTACCAAACTTCATTGAGAATACCTGTATTATGTCCTGAATTTATTTCCCCCCCTTTTAAATTAAAAATAGTTCACATTTTATCCATCTCTCTCTCTCTCTCTCTCTCTCTCTCTCTCTCTCTCTCTCTGTGTGTGTGTGTGTATATACACATACATATATACATATATACATACACACACACACAGATATATATATTCAATGGAATACTATTCCACCTTCTAAAAGAAGAAAATCCTGTCATTTGTAACAACGTAAATGAACTTCGAAGACATTATGCTGAGTGAAATTAGGTAGGCACAGAAAAACAAATGGTATATGATCTTACCTATTTGTGGAATAAAAAAAAAGCCAAACTCAAAGAGGTAGAAGGTAATGGTGTTTTTCAGGGGCTGGGGTAAGGGGCATAAAATGGGGAGATGTTGGTCAAAGGTACAAAGGTTACAGAGGGTACACTGTTAGGATGAATAAGTTCTGGAGATATACAATATGGTGGCTGGAATTAATAATGTACTATATACTTGAAAATTGCTAAGAGAGTAAATTTTAAATGTTCTCACTACAAAAAAGTAAACATGTGAGGTGAAAAATATGTTAATTTGCTTGATTTAATCTTTGTACAATGTATACAGACATTTATGAAAACACCAAGTTGTGCCCCATAAATATACATTAAAAAGTTCACATTTGAGTACCATGTTCATTTAAGATGTATAAAAAGTACTTGAAAGCAAAGGAATTGTTGGGATCTCTGAGAGGGCCTTCCATTAATAACACTACTATTTCCCAACCAGGCTTTGAATTAGTGAAGAAATAAAACAAGGAATTAATATGGAGGCCAGATCATCACCTCTTACACTGATAAAATCCAGGATGGATGACATAGGTCTGAGTCTATTAGCTAATGGGTTCAGTAATATTGAACCCTAGAATTAGGCAGACATATCCTCCCATTTCTAGATAGCAATGGACCAGGGCAGTCCTCCCCACAAAAAGAGGATGGCAGCAAGTGCCCTATGGAGTGAGATCTTCCATAGAGGACCAGAGGAGGGTTCCCAAGAGAGAGAAGGTAATGCCTAACCAGCTATGCTCAGTTGTTCATCCCAATTTAGCCCTCAGATAAGTCATTACAGCTTTCCAGGAAGAAAGTGATTAAGGGATGGAAAGTGGTTCAGTTATTTACTTAAGGAGACTACCACCTCATAGAAACCTGGATGGGGAAAATATATTTTCTTTGAATTCTCATTTCAAACCCTCTGATAAGAAATTACTTAACATTCACTTATGAGTTTATTGGTAATATCACATAAGGGCTCCATTATTAGTATTTAATGTTTTAATGTTTAAGATTCTTAAAAGTATACTTGATTTTAAAAATTCAAAGCTATCTATTAGATAATGCTTGCATTCAAAGCACTATAAAAAAGAAAACTGCTTTTACTGGTTTCTTGTTATCTTTTCCTAATTCCGCTTCTCAGCAAATAAACAAATACAAATTTGTAATTATGTTTTTTCCCTTTCTTACACACAGTTTCGTGTTTTTCTTTATAATGGTTTCTTAATTGCATTTTTGATGACTTAATGTAATAATGCCAGAAAAATTCATGAGTGAGTAATTGCTACATTTTATGGTAAAAATAGACTTGTTTTAAAAAGTGACCAATAAAAGTTACTCCTAATAAATTTAAATGACCACAAATATGCTACAAGCCAAAAATTATATTATAGTGTAATTATAGTTTAAGACTGAATAACAAATGCTACCATTTATTAAGTGCCAGGCGCTTGCTAAACACTGAACATAAGTTGACTTATTGAATTCTCACAAAGATGAGAGAGTTAGAAGGGATATTACCTCATTTTCAAAACTGGAGAACAAAACTAAGAGAAGTAGTTTTGCATAACTTCTTTCAGGGGTGTGTGTGTGTACATACATATACATGAATTTTTACAGATACTGAGTTTCTAGTCTGAACTCTTAACTATTATACTATCCCCTTATGGGACATTGCTAGCAAAACCAGGAGAGTCATGTTCTTAATAAACTAAGAAGCTCAAACAAAGCAGATACTTAAGAAGCCCTTTAAGATGGGAGACTTCCATTTGAAAACTGGAGCAGTACACACTGGGGTCTGTTGGGGGGAACTAGGGGAGGGACAGTTGGGGGTAGGGAGTTGGGGAGGAATAACATGGGGAGAAATGCCAAATATAGGTGATGGGGAGGAAGGCAGCAAACCACGTTGCCATTTATGTACCTGTGCCACAACCATGCATATTCTTCACAACCCCAAAACCTAAAATGCAATTTAAAAAAAAATATATATATATATATTTGAAAACTGGATTCTAATGTAATTATATTTTTTTCTCAGAGAAAGAAGTTACCTAAACAAAAAAACTCACCACAACTCTTTGTTTTTGCTTTTTCCTAGCCAGGATAAAGTGGGACCCCTCTGATCCTCAAATAATATCTGAAGGTCTTTATGCAATTGCTGTAGTTTTAAGTTTCTCTAGGATAGCTTATATTTTACCAGCAAATGAAAGCTTTGGACCTCTGCAGATCTCACTTGGAAGAACAGTCAAAGACATCTTCAAGTTTATGGTCATATTCATTATGGTGTTTGTGGCCTTTATGATTGGAATGTTCAACCTCTACTCCTACTACATTGGTGCAAAACAAAATGAAGCCTTCACAACGTATGTAATCTCAGATGTTTTGATGATAGTTATTGCAAATAAATAAATACTAGTTTAATAGTGTTTAAGTCCATGGGATAAATAATGTTTTGGTAAAGATTTCATGTCCAGTTCCTCTTTTGCAAAATGAGAGGGGATTTTAAAAATGAGTTGGAGGGGCTCTAAAATGTAGGAACCTTTCTAATACTAAATAATAACATTTTTAGAGTCAGTAAATACCCTGCATGCCTCCCTTTATTATCTCTGTTTCACTAAGAAGACACGGAAATTCACAAAAATTAAGTAATTTGCTGAATATTCCATAGCGGTATGTGGAACATCCAGGGTGTAACCCTTGCTTGCTTCTTCTAGGGTCTGTTACTCCCTTGCCCTCCTGCCTGTGGGACTCCAGGGGACACTAACTATGAAAACAGCTGCTTTCCTAATTGAATTTCTCAGATCTTATCACTGAGTAGATCTGACTTACCAACAGTGATGAGTTTTGACTCATATTCAATGTGGAAGTGTGTTTTTTTATAAAGTGTGTTTGGGATAGATTATTTAAATATTAGGTCTTCAGTGTTACAATGAGAAGTAACAACTGAAATATAAGCCTACTGTTTTCCATATTTCTCTAAAATACAGTTTGCCAGGGAAATGAAACCACCTGAGTTAAGCAAATTGGCTTACCTTTGGTCAATAATTATGCCTAAAGCATTGAAATTCCTACCGAAGACATGTCAGTGATTTTGGTAACACTGTCTGTTTATATTGTCATATTTTCCAGTAAGATGTATATGATTATTATTTATTGGATACACATAGAAGTATAGATGAGCAGTAAACCTAAAATGATTCTAACAAATTATATTATTTTTAAGTAGTACATTTAACAATTCCGTTCCCAAAACTATGGATTATTTAAGTGTTCATATCTGTGGTTATGAAATTATGTTCACAGCATTTATTGATTATGTATTTAGATATTGAGCTGTGATTGTGTACTTCATATGCACAATATTATCCCATCCTTGCAACAATCCTATTGTAACCATTTTATAGAAAATAAAAGTGAGCCTCAGAGACATGAAGAATATTTTTAATAAATTCTAATTTGTAAAGACAATAAACCAACTCGCTTTTATTATGGTACTATTGTTATTTATTTATACACTTTCTTATTCTTTTCTTTCTTTTATTTTTCCCCAGGGTTGAAGAGAGTTTTAAGACACTGTTCTGGGCTATATTTGGACTTTCTGAAGTGAAATCAGTGGTCATCAACTATAACCACAAATTCATTGAAAACATTGGTTATGTTCTTTACGGAGTTTATAATGTTACAATGGTCATTGTTTTGCTAAATATGTTAATTGCCATGATCAACAGTTCATTCCAGGAAATTGAGGTATAATCTCAATACATTTTATCATTTGAGTCTACATGTTTTAACTATTCCAAGAACTAACTCAGCAATGAGGATGAGAGTATGGGCTGCTGTTCCCCTTCGTTCATTTCCAGTTTGACCAGTTATCTGGAAAATTTTAACTCTTTGCTTCCAGATGTAATATCAATAAGGTATAGTGGGGCAGTAAGGCATAAGAAGCAGAATGCTGATTTGTTATTCATTTAATAAAAAAATTTTAGAAATACTATATCAGCATGAATTTATATTTTATTCAAAAAATTATTGTTTATGAATACCATTATTCTCCAAGTCTTTTCTGAGTGATATTCAAAGTTAATCTTTTCTCAAGTTGAGATTAATAGAAATTTTTATTCCAGAAATCTTGATCTGTGTCCCAAATAAATGGGTGGTATATTGCAGGATAAAAGAGAGAATAATTTTTCCCAGTGTTTTTCAGAAAGTAGGAAAATAGATTTATATCTATCAGATATTTATAAACACATGGGAACTTGGAGATTCATAGTCCTGTAAGACTGTCAAAATTTTAGGCAAATTTAAGAAAGAGGGTGTGAATAGAATGTTAACATTTTGAAAAAATCTTGGAACCATCACTGGGGTCTGAGAGTGTTTGTAGGCGATGTTCTCCATCTAGTCACACAATGTTAAAAGCCTCCCAGTAATTCTGTTTATGCATTTCCTTGCTGAACTGCCATGTGTATTTGTATAGGATGACGCTGATGTGGAGTGGAAATTTGCAAGGGCCAAACTCTGGTTTTCCTACTTTGAGGAGGGGAGAACACTTCCTGTTCCCTTCAATCTGGTGCCAAGTCCAAAGTCCCTGTTCTATCTCTTACTGAAGCTTAAAAAATGGATTTCTGAGCTGTTCCAGAGTCATAAAAAAGATTTCCAGGAAGATGCAGAGATGAACAAGGTAACTTCGCTTGATAATTTTTAGTTGTATTCTTAAATGCTGTGACTACTGTAACCACGATGCCACATCCCTTTAAAAAGCAGCAGTTCCTGATGACATATACATTCGTGACTCCTGTAACCACTGTGCCACATCCCTTTAAAAAGAAGCAGCTCCTGATGCTCTAAAAGTTCCTGATCCGTTTAAAAAGAAGCAGTCCATCCATCCCACATGCAGCCACTTCACACAGTACAGTCCTTTGGCTTCTGTCTGTTTAACATGAGCACACTGAACATTTCCTGCTTAAAAGAATATAAGAAAAATTCGTGAAATATAACTAACATAATGTACTGTGTTATCTGGAGTGAGTACTGAGAGAAGAGCTGTGCTGGGCTGCTTTTTTGCTGTTGTGGCATCATCTCCCTCCCTTCTCCTTCAATTTATACAGCCAGGTAAATAGCAGCAGCTAGTTATGCCTGGGGGGCAACTTGATGAACTCTTAGATAACTTCCACATTGAAAAGTTCAGAAATCAGTTGCTCACATGCAGTTTGGGAGACCAGGCTTGGCAATAAGTAGTTGAAGAAAGAAAGAAAGCTCAGGACATTGATTGAAAACAATAATCCCAACAAGGTGATGCAGTCTTTAAAAAACCATGAAAAGATGTGTGCTTAGATGAAGCAGTAGGGCCATCACAACATGTTCAGATATGTTTAGAGAACATGTGGAATTTGTGTCTAACTGGAGGGGGAAAGTGAGCAATTATACTGTGCAAAGATCCCTGCTGAGCACAGACCACTATACTCAGAAGGGGCACTGAGATACCAGTTGCAGCTAGAGGAGGAGGACCCGAATGGGACACATATGGATATAGTGTCATATGAGGGAGAACTGAAGGAGCTGGCTGTTTCTTCTGAAAGAGGAACATTGAAGATGACCAAAAATGTCTTTATAATTTCCATCTTTAATTAGGAAGTACATTTGTTTTTCCAAAATGGGAAGAGAAGCAATGGGCAAAAAATTCAAATAGTTAAATTTTAATTCGGTCTAAGAACAAACTTGTAACCAGAAAATCTGCCAAACAGAAGAGTGGGCTGCCTTTAGAAGTACTGAGCTTCCCACCATTGTAGGCAGTCAATAAATGCCAGGTGGCTGACAGTGGGAATTTATTGAAGATTCTTCCTTCTTACACTGCATGGGCAGTTGGGCCAAATGATTATAAAATTTCCTTGGAACGATAAGATTCTATCATTAAGTAAAAGGAATGTTGCAATTTCTGCACTGTTTGCTCGCCATTTACTATTTAGAGTTCTCAAGTAAGTAACACATGCTCTGAGTTCTAGATTTCTCATCTGTCATATGTGAAAAAATTATATCTACATCCTGAAGCTCAAATACAATAAGTATATAAACATACTTTCAGAATTTTAAAGCTTTCTTTAAATGTAGTTATGATTAATTTGTACAGAAATTTTGGAAAGATATACCATCTATGACATTGTTCCAGAAATATAACTTACAGAACTCAGTGGATTGAGTGGCAAAAAATTCCCCTTCTTCTTTTATGTAATTAAATTAGTGGTTTACTGGTTAGAATTGCAGCTTGACGGAATTCAGAGTCCAAAGGAAACGTCCAAGCACTTGCCAAAGGGAAGAACCCAGTAAGAATATGTTCCTCTCATTAAACTTGTTGTGGAATTAGACCAGATGCCTTTTAAAATACGGAATGAAGAGTGAAACTGGTTCTGCAATTATACTCATTTCACTTTCTGTTTTTAAAAGATAAATGAAGAAAAGAAACTTGGAGTTTTAGGAAGTCATGAAGACCTTTCAAAATTATCACTTGACAAAAAACAGGTAAGCTAATATTTGAAAATATGAAATCATGCATATGATCAGGTTTGTCTGTTCAGAGAAAGGGATGGATATTCAGAAGCAATTTTAAGAAGTAGAGAACAGACACATTAAATAATTCAACTATTTTAACAATTCTCCAAAATTCCGTTACTGAGAGTTGGAAGTAAGGCTATACTTGATAAGCAAAAAAGAATTATATGTATATTAAGACATATATTAAGCACATACTTATGGTGATGGAATATAGGACTAGTCATACAGAGAAGGGAATATGAAGAGACGAATCAATCAAGAACCTGACGGAGGATATGATTAACTTCACTTTCTGCAGCTCAGGTAGAGAGCACACATGGTCCCCAGTGCCTCCTAATTCATCAGTAATCAAGAAGTGATGGAAAAAGGCACGGTGGGACCTTAATGGCTATTGTGGTAGACACCGTTTATAATGAATGATGTGCTCTGGAGATCTGTCAGCTCCTTAGCTGGGAGTAGCGAAATCCTCAACAATAAGGACGTGTTTCATTTTTTGTGGGATGCACATAGTAAGGGCATAATAAATGCTTGTTGCTAAACGGAAATGATAAAGGAATGAATCGGAAAAGGGCAATGTATCAGGTAGGACTTGCATTCAGTTACAAATAGTAATATAAAATCCAAATCATGGCAGTTTAAACAAAACAGTTGTTTCTTCCCTGCCTCATTTAACTCTCCAGAGTTAGGCAGTATGTTCCTGTTGTCAGGCGTGAGTTTCTGTGATTCTCTTGGATTTTTTCATAGTCAGGTGTAGGAGGACAGCTTTTCCTTCTGCTATTGTATGCACTTTTCAGGCATGTAGGAGTAAGGGCAAAGGAAACGTAGGGCATGCTAGCTCAATCTGCCACCAGTCTCAGAAGAATCTCCCCAAAATTTCGGTTGTTATATCTCATTGACCAGAACTATGCTACATGGCCATCCCATGGAATGCATATGACAAGGAGGGAGACTGTTTTTTGTGTGTCTTTTAAGCTGGTTATGTTACCTCCCCCAACAATATAGGAGTCCTTTTACGGCCTATCTGATATCCAGCCACCCAGCCTCCTTTCTAACGATTGCTTCCACTAGCATGTCAATCATTACCCATTACAAATCAGAACCAAAAGGAGAGCTTTAGGTAAGGGAAATACTAAACCATTAGCCCTAGTAAGATTAGGAAATTTGACTGAAAGGAGCTTCCAAAGAACAGTTTCACAGGTGGGAAGGGTTGCAGTGGGAGGTAGCATGTGGGTGAGAGACTTATGCATGAATTCTGTGAGCTTTGCCACAGTCTGGGGTTCAGCCATAGTGATGGGGCCACGTGGATTGAGAGTAAGACAGCAAGAAGGCAAGTAGAAATCATCCCTGGTCATCTAAGAGAGTCAGCAGATTAGGGTCATTATAAATTGGCACATTCTTGCTGTTCAGACAAGTTATGTTTGTCTTGCCTATCCATGTGAATCTAGATTGCATTTAAAAATGATTTTAATAAGGGAAATTTAAGACATGGAAAATAAGTTATATAACAGAGCTCCAAAGTCATTTCACTCTAGAAAGATAGTTTAGTGGTTAGGAGGCTAGTGCAGGGGGGTCAACAAATCATAACCCTCAGGCCACATTGAGTCTTCAGCCTGTTTTTGTTCAGACTGAGAGAGATTTTAAAAAATTACATTTCTTAAAAAGTTGTGAAAAAATAAGGATATGTGAGAGAGGCCATATATGGCCCATAAATCCTATAATATTTATTACCTATGCAAATACAATGTCTCATATTATAAAGAAATGGATCTTTACTGTCTTCCACAGTGGCTGAACAAATTTACACTCCCACCGACAGTGTAAAAGCGATCCTACATCTCCATATCCTCTCCAGCATCTGTTGTCTTCTGATTTTTTAATGATCACCAGTCTAACTGGCGTGAGATGGTATCTCAGTGTGGTTTTGATTTGCATTTCTCTAATGACTAATGAGCTTTTTTTCAAATGTTTGTTGGCTGCATAAATGTCCTCTTTTGAGATGTGTCTGTTCATATTCTTCACCCACTTATTGATGGGATTATTTTTTTCCTGTGAATTTGTTTAAATTCTTTGTAGATTCTGGATATTAGTCCTTTGTCAGATGGGTAGATTGCAAAAATTTTTTCCCACTGTTGGTTGCCAGTTCACTCTAATGATAGTTTCTTTTGCTGTGCATAGGCTCTTGCGTTTAATTAGATCCCATTTGTCTATTTTGGCTTTTGCTGCCATTGCTTTTGATGTTTCATCCATGAAGTCCTTGCCCATGCCTATGTCCTGAATGATATTGCCTAGGTTTTCTTCTAGGATTTTTATGGTGTTAGGTCTTATGTTTAAATCTTTAATCCATCTGGAGTTAATCCAGTTTCAGCTTTCTGCATATGGCTAGCCAGTTTCTCCACACCATTTACTGAATATGGAATCCTTTCTCTATTGCTTGTTTTTGTCAGGTTTGTCAAAGATCAGATGGTTGTAGATGTGTGACATTATTTCTGAGGCTTCTGTTCTGTTCTATTCATCTATTTCTCTGTTTTGGTACCAGTACCCTGCTGTTTTGATTACTGTAGCCTTGTAGTATAGTTTGAAGTCAGGTAGCATGATGCCTCCAGCTCTTTTGTTTATTTGTTTTGCTTAGGATTGTCTTGGCTATGCAGGCTGTTTTTGGTTCCATATGAAGTTTAATGTGTTTTTTTTTCCCAATTCTGTGAAGAAAGTCAAGGGTAGCTTGATGGGAACAGCATTGAATCTATAAATTACCCTGGGCAGTATGGCCATTTTCATGATATTGCTTCTTCCTAAGCATAAGCATGGAATATTTTTCCATCTGTTATTTCCTTGAGCAATGGTTTATAGTTCTCTTTGAAGAAGTTTTTCATATCCCTTGTTAATTGTATTCCTAGGTATTCTATTCTCTTTGTAGCAATTGTGAAAGGGAGTTCACTCATGATTTGGCTCTATTATTGGTATATAGGAATGCTTGTGATTTTTGCACATTGATTTTGCATCCTGAGACTTTGGTGAAGTTGTTTATCAGCTTAAGGAGACTAAGCTAAGACGATGGGGTCTTTTAAATATACAATCATGTCATCTGCAAACAGAAACAATTTGACTTCCTCTTTCCCTAACTGAATACCTTTTATTTATTTCTCTTGATTAATTGCCCTGGCCAGAACTTCCAATACTCTGTTGAATAGGAGCGGTGAGAGAGGGCATTCTTGTCTTGTGCCAGTTTTCAAAGGGAATGTTTCCAGTTTTTGCCCATTCAGTATGATATTGGCTGTGGGTCTGTCATAAAGAGGTCTTATTATTTGAGATATGTTCCATTATTACCTAGTTTATAGAGATTTTTTAGCATAAAGGGTTGCTGAATTTTGTTGAAGTCCTTCTCTGCATCTATTTAAATAATTATGTGGTTTTTGTCTTTGGTTCTGTTTATGTGGTGGATTACTTTTATAGATTTGCATATGTTGATGAAGCCAAGTTGATTGTGATGGATAAGGTTTTTGATGTGCTGTTGGATTCAGTTTGCCAGTATTTTATTGACGATTTTTGTATCAATGTTCTTCATGGATATTGGCCTAACATTTTCTTTTTTAGTTGTGTCTTTGTCTGGTTTTGGTATCAAGATGATGTTGGTCTCCTAAAATGAGTTAGGGAGGATTCCCTCTTTTTGTACTGTTTGGAATAGTTTCAGAAGGAATGGTACCAGCTCTCTTTGTACCTCTGGTAGATTTGGCTGTGAAACAGTCTGGTCCTGGACTCTTTTTGGTTTGTCGGTTATTAATTGCTGCTTCAATTTTAGGCCTTGTTATTGGTCTATTCAGGGATTTGACTTCTTCCTGGTTTAGTGTTGGGAAGGTTTAATTGTCTAGGAACTTATTCATTTCTTCTAGATTTACTGGTTTATTTGCATAGAGGTGTTTGTAGCATTCTCTGATCGTAGTCTGTATTTCTGTGCCATTGGTGGTGATATCCCCTTTATCATTTTTTATTGCATCTATTTGATACTTCTCTCTTTTATTCTTTACTACTTTGGCTAGTGGTGTATCTATTTTGTTGATAGTTTCAAAAAAACAGCTCTTGGATTCATTAATGGTCTGAAGGGTTTTTTGTGTCTCTCTCTCCTTCAGTTCTGCTCTGATCTGAGTTATTTCTTGTCTTCGGCTAGCTTCTGAATTTGTTTGATATTACTCCTCTAGTCCTTTGAATCATGACACTAGGGTGTCAATTTTAGATCTTTCCTTGTTTCTCTGGTGGACATTTAGTGCTGTAAATTTCCATGTAGATAATGCTTTAAATGTGTCCCAGAGATTCTGGTATGTTGTATCTTCATTTTCATTGGTTTCAAAGAACATCTTTATTTCTGCATTCATTTCATTATTTATCCAGTAGTCATTCAGGAGGCACATTGTTCAGTTTTCATGTAGTCATGCAGTTTTGAGTGAGATTCTTAATCCTGAATTCTAATTTGTTTGCACTGTGATCTGAGAGATTGTTACGGTATCCATCCTTTTTGCATTTGCTGAGGAGTGATTTACTTCCAATTGCATGGTGAATTTTAGAATAAATGTGATTTGGTGCTAAGAAGGTATATTCTGTGGCTATGGAGTGGAGAGTTCCATAGATGTCTTTTAGGTCCACTTGGTCCAATCTGAGTTCCTGGATATCCTTGTTAATTTTCTGTCTCGTTGATCTGTCTGATATTGACTATGGGGAAATAAAGTCTCCCACTATTATGGTGTGGGAGTCTAAGTCTCTTTGTAGGTCATTAAGAACTTACTTTATATATCTAGGTGCTCCTATATTGGGTGCATGCATATTTAAGACAGTTAGCTCTTCCGGTTACAGTGATCCCTTTACCATTATGTATGTAATGCCCTTGTCTATTTTGATCTTTGTTGGTTCAAAATCTGTTTTATCAGGGCCTAGGATTGCAACCCCTGCTTTTTTTGCTCTCCATTTGCTTGGTAAAT